CTTTCTGGATGGAGTCCCATGTCAGATTACCATACCTGTCAACCCCTTATCAGTGCCCTACCTTATTACAGACCAATTCAGACCTTATTGGTCACCCCGTGCCCTTATACATCTCAACGTTCATCCTACAAAGTCTCATCACAAGGGAGAAACACAAATAGTCAAAAACTTTTTTTAACTCAATTTCCCTGTACAAGAAAACGGGTAAACTGTATGGGTTAAGTATGGATTATCTAGCTGCAATAAGTGCCTCTGCAGTAGTCCTAAGCACCAAAAACACGAATATTCCACAGTTTGGTAAAACTTTGTAACTGTATAAAAATAGGGTTTTTCACATTTTTTCTGGCAACAAAACTGAAACCTTTTTACAAGGATTCATATCTGCATTAACCACAATACCCGCAGTCAAAATGCAAACAAAAAAACATACTATGGGTCGAGGCTCAAAAGAAAGCCGTCCCTTGGTGTGGACCAATCAGTTTCAAGGACAATGCATATATTATCATAGTATGTTTTTTGTTTGCATTTTGACTGCAGGTATTGTGGTTAATGCAGTAACATGAATCCTTGTAAAAAGGTTTCAGTTTTGTTGCCAGAAAAAAGGGGAAAAACCCTATCATTACATTTTGGTACTGGCAAAGGAGGTCTAATTTGTAACTATGTTTAACGCGCACGCCTTCCCGAACGCACATTAACAGAACATAAGTACTGTATTGTAAAAGAACTGGAAATGATATCCCTTGATTATTGTCTACCACTCGAGTGTATACGATAAAATAAATATTTACCTAACCGTACGTCATTGTAATATAGACAATGACAACAAATACTGTAAGACTAAACATCTAACCCGGGGACCCGGCAAACATAATAACAAAAAGAGCCATTTTGTTTAAATTCGGTAAAAAAAAACCATGAGGACCTCAATACATCTTGACTTAAAGCTTTCGTGACTGCAGGAATTCATACTCTTTGGCTCTTTCGGTAAAGTCACGTGGATAGGTTCAAAGAAAATAACAAAAATGCGACGACGTTTCGATCGCAACCCAAAGCCGTCGTTATCAGAAAAAGGGCCGCTTGTGTTGCGATCGAAACGTCGTAGTTTTTTTGTTTGTTATTTTCTTTGAACCGATCTACGTGACTTTACCGAAAAACCCAAAGAACAAGACCTCGATATTTCAAGCGCTGCAATGCACGTGGTGAATACGAGACGGCGATCCTCAAGGAACATCACGACACAGCCGGTCCTCGGCGAATCGCGTGCAGCTTCCGAGCCGAAGGTTGCCGACCCATGACTTGGCCTATAACTAACACATCCCCATTGATCTATCATACCGCTAAGCTTAAAATGGTACATTTGTCATAGATAATTACCTTTACTGAATAACAATACCGTATATTCGCAAGTGGTCCACGGTATTTGACTTATATTTACCTAAATACAGTACAAGGATTAGCTTAAATGACAGAATGATGGCTCATGACTCAAATATGGGTACTAAAATTTGGCAGGTTGGATGTACTGTGGAATTGAACCAGATTTAACATCCGAAGGATTTCAGTTTAAGTCAATTTTTGTGTGTTTAATTTGTTGTCCTTTCCCCGCCCCTCACATTAATAATCAGAGCGGGCTACGTACGTGTATGCGTACGCAACAAAACGTGGCAACACAACCACGGCCACACACCTCAACAACGGCAGCCACGTGCACAGACACCCACACGCCGCAACGAGCGCTCAAACAGCCCCAATCATAAACAAATCGAAACCACAATCACACAAGAAGGGGCGCCAACGCAACCGCGCACGAAACACACCAACCGCGCAGAACGCAACCACAAGCGCAAACACAATAACACCAACAGCAAACACACGCGTACAGCTGCTCAAACACAACGACGGGACACGGATAACTTTCCACGCGTTAGCCGCGTCAAAGACGCGATGGCGGACCCACGGCTGCTCGCTATCATTCGTACAATTGTCGCGGGAATTTACGCAAATTCCCATGCGTAAATCCCGTGTGGGGGAACGTAAGCGCCAAAAAGCTGTCGGGGGTGGGGGCACTTTCGGCGATAAGACATCGTCAGTGCGAGGGCCGCCACAGCGCCTGCAAGGGTAGTGTGTTTCACACGTTGTGTGTTCACGGGGCCCGCACGAAAAAGAGGCCACCAGGGCCAGCCAGTGGTCTCGCGGGCCTTGCAATGGAGAACACTGGCGAAGGCGGACAGGGCTCGGGGTCTCAGCATGGAGATGTGACTCTCTGCCCGTCATTCCTCCGAGACCACGACATTCGTATTGCTCAGTGGGAAGTCCACAATGGTTGTCTCCATAGAGAGGCTGGTCTTGCCGACAGAATGTGGAATTTACACGACTGGCTCCAGAACCACCGACAGACAAGAGCACCGCGCAGTACTTCTTTGAGGATGGCAGAAATGTTCCAGTGCTATTTATGACAAGGGACATTCCAGCCCACAAGTTTCTGGATATGTTACTTGGGAATTGAAATCTACACGCGTTTATGTTCCTGCATAAATAACCGTGAGATCACCAATAAGATGTTTCCGCTATACAGTATACTGGACAACTAACCCATGTGTGTGTGAACACAGGAGACACATTTTCCTGTTGGGCAGCTTATGAATGGATCCTTAGCTTAACCAAGCACGGGTAGCCAGAGGCATGATAACTTCAGCAGGGGATTAATAAAAAATCATCATTTATTTAATACACATTTTAAAAATATACTTCCCAGGAATATATAACGATTTTTAATTACAAGATAACTTCCAACTTTAACCACCGCAAAGTACTTACATTACATATAAATAAAGCAATATATTTTGCGAAATCCTCTTAATCTGATGACCATGTTATGAAATCCAAGTTGATATACAACGTCTCGTTAATAATAATAATACTTGTAGCCAACTCTGTATCGACTAACGAGCCGTGGCATTTAACGGGGTGGCTCGGTCACGGAATACCTACAGATTCAAAGTGGCGGCGGCGGCAAAGCCCCATGGCATTTTCTACATAGTCCCACGTCCCCTGCGAAGATAGCAATCACCTTGAAGAAATTACGAAGCAATTCGAACAAACCTCAACGACTACAGCGGAAAGGCCCCAATGTACTTGACGACTCTTTGTTGAGTGCGTAATGTTGCTTTAATCACTCTCACATCTACGAGTGCAGAACGCGTCCATCATGTCACAACTTCAACTAATTTGTAAATATTTTACATTTTCATTATTTTCAGAAACGGTGTTAAATGTATCTCCTTTACTGGAAGTCAAAGGACGTGATTGACAACAGAGCATACCAATAAAAAATTGCAGGCGGCGTAAAAAAAAAAACACTTCATACTATTGCAGGAAGGTTATTCTATTCTTTAAACGCATTGCTCGCAAAAGTAATATCGTATAAAAAGTGGATAAATATGTTACAGTTCACAAAAAAATACCAATATGTTTTAAATCACCCAGAAGTAGAGAGTCTATCCGGTGAAGGGGGTTTTGATTTGACACTCGCGTCAAAAGTTGCCACATCACACGGCGATCCAAATTCAACTGTCACCTGTCGTATTTCTGTTCCATCACCCTCATCCACAATTACGCGTCGCCTCCGTCGCACAGGCAGCGAGGCACCGCCGTGCAAATCAGGAACACATTTTCATGCTCCTTCAATTTTTCCGACAGAACATGTAAATATTTAAACACTAATATCTCACCGCAACGAACCATGGGAGGCAGGTCACGTCTGCCCGAGCACAAAACTACGTTACGTTGCATCGCACTGCTTATTTATTTACAGCGTCCCCCACCCCCCCCCCCCCCCCCCCCCCCAACGTACGACTCGCTGCCGAGATGCAACGTCTAATTTACAATGCGGTCATGCTGATGCCGCTGGGTCGCACGCCGTTAAAACAACAAACGACGAGGCGCCGTCTTTGACGACGCACGGTGGCGCGCCAAAAATAACCGAGCGCCGTCGGTGTTTTTTACGCGTCACGCGTAAAAACACCGCCCCGAGAACGCGCAGTATCCGCTCATCGCGGCCCTACGTGCGCCGCCGTCCCCTTGACGGGCAGCAACGTCATTCGTTCGAATGAAAGCAGGCACAGTCGCCAGTCTGGCGGTCGGCGCGACAGGCGGAACAACGTCAAGAGCGTCTGCCCCTGCCCGTAAAAGCGTCCGAGGGTGCTCATCTCCACTGGCGCCCATAGGGATCCGGCGGTGGCAATTTCACGCGAGCCGGGACGGTGGTGGTTGTGCTGTGCGTGGCCTGCGGTCCGGCACTGTGGAGGGCAGCGGCGAGGGTTGGCGGCTGGCACAAAAACGTCGCGAAACTCCCTTTCCCGTGGGCTTCCAATTGCCGTAGCCTGGCTCGGTACAGCAAGTGGACTCATCGCCATCTATTGGGGATCGAGCGTTGCTCCCTTGCACGCGTGGGTTTTCTCCGGGTGCTCCGGTTTGCTCTTATTTGTATGAACACTCGTCTATTGGCCGAAAACATTTTAAAATAAAAATGCCCAATGCAGGACCGTCCTGCAAAATAATCCTTGGACTCAGTGTGACTATTACTGGATAAATAATAATAATTCTTATTATCATACAACATTGCAAGCCCATCTCTTCATAGGTCGACCACTGTTGACGTCTCGCATATTTATCTATCCGAGATGGATGATGGGCCGAGTAAACCCTCAACCAGGATTTGAGCTCGCAACTGGTCCGGTTGCAAGTCAAGCCGACAATCGCGCAAACACCACCCACGCGGTAGTGCACCGACGTACACGCGTGACACACGTTACATTTTAATACGCTTTCACGCACCACCTTTGCATGTAAAACGCGATACATATTGTATGCAAAAATAAAAACTAAAATGTACTTTGAGAATACTCTCCAGCGCAATGGAGGCCGTCAGCGCCACATCACCGCATTCTCCTTGCGACAGCTACGACTGCGACCGATGATTGACCCCGCCAGGCACTCACCTCACCGGCAGCGTCCGGTCGCCCTTTCGCCGGTCCATCTCTCGCTGGGGCACCGGGTACCAGCGGAAGTTGAGTTTCCAGTTGAAGCCACCGTACGTCATGTCAGATCCGGTCAGATACTCAAAGGTCTCGTCACTGATGACGTCAATGACGGGACACACCACTGCCCTCCTGTCAATTCACAGCGTTACGTGTCAGCCGGGTTGCACGCGAGACGTTAAGAGCCCTTTGCGCGTCAAATATCATCACGGTGGCTGCCACCAGCTGCTTGCATTGAATGGATGTTGCAGCCAGGCGCTATATCACACTGTGTGTGTATACGCATAGCGAATATATATGTAGGTATTTGTTGAACTTCCTTCGCACCGTACGTAGCCAACCGTGCTAATCGGAGGTGCGGGGAAAGGACGACAAATTAAACACACAAAAATCAGTTTTCAACAAATGAGTTTTCAATCTTGATTTTACAACGCGTAGCTCAAGTGGCTTCCTAATATCAGAAGGAATATATAGAGAACTAGGCTTCAAATTAGTAACAGGAAAGTTTAATTATTTATATAACGCACAATAATTAAATATTGACTTGACATAGCAATGAAGAACGTTCCAATAAATATTAACAATTCATGAAAAGTGAAAATAGACTCCAAACTTGTATAGCAGGTGTATTGCCGTATAACGGGAGTAAATTAATCCATGGCCGATGATTTTATTAAGCAACTCCTCCACACACTGGTTCACAGTCAAAAGCTTCACACATTTGTCGCCAGAACCGTCGTCATCATCAGCCATGATTTATCCACTGCTGGATGAAGGTCTTCCTCAAGCTGTTACCATCCTTTCACGGTCTCCCAATGCAAATGATCCATCTAGCCTAATTAATTGGCACTTCATCGCTCCCTCTCGGCAGTGGGCACGATTCCTCCTTCGGCTCCCACTCCGTCGTTAGTCTCTCCTAGCGACGTGTTCTGCCCGAGCCCACTGATTTTTCTTGACGCTCGAGTATGCGAGCTCCCTGTGAACCTGACGACGCTGACGATGCTGGATGTAATCTCCAAAGACAACACCGGTGGTTGTTGCTGAAGCGGTAAATAATTTGGCCACGTTTGATTCCGGACCTCCGATTAGCACGGTTGGCGACGTATGGTGCAAAAGAAGTTCAACATACATCCATACATAGATTCACGTGACACTTTGAGGCATTACCTGTGTCGGGTGGAGGAGGGTTTAGACACAATTTTCCACGACCTAACCAAGAAACCCAATTATGAATCTAAATACTGGTCGTGAAAGCGTGCGCATACACTTGGCCAATATGATGATATCTTTAGCTTGCATATTGACAAAGTGTTTCATCGGTGCATATTCTCTGCGATGATCAATGCACCTGAAACATGGGCACTGCCAACAAATATGGAACGAAAGACAAGAGGTGTACAAAGAGGCATGGAGAGGTGCATGCTTGGGGACAGGAAGCAGGAAGATACGAATTAAAGATTACGTGCAATTCGAGATCATATGCAAGTTAAATACTACTCCAGCAGCCAAAACACTCCAATGTGGACTTCACAACACTCCCGACGTGCCGCCGTAACACTCCGCTACGGGGTCACCACACGCGTACGCATGCATGTAAAAAAGAACAAACCCAATTCGTGGCACGGACGCGAAGGGCTCTGGCCTAAAAGCAACGGCTCCTTCTGAGCGCGAACGACGACGGGCGGCCGCTGCGCCGGCGCCGGCGGCGCACCTCTCACCTGTCCTCCTTGATCCTGGCCAAGAGGGGCTCGAGCCAGCCTGTCGTGGCCTCGCAGTGCGCGTCCAGAAACGTGATCACCTGACCCTGGGCGGCGGCCGCCCCCCTCAGTCGGGCGCGGATGAGGCCCGAGCGCTGGGCCATGCGGAGAAGCCGCACGGGCGTCTCCAGCTTGCGTACGTAATCCTCCAGTGGCTTCTTCAGGAAATCTGTGCGAGACGTTCACATCATCCATGATCATCATCATCATCATCATCAATCACCGCCACTTCATATTTATACCGCGCCTCCCACGCAGGACTTCTCGAGGTGCCCTGGGCGGCAGGGAACGCCCGGTCACAGCCATCCCTGTGAGGTCAAGGCACCACCGGCCTGTAAGTGGGCATTCGTTTGCCAGCCGGGGGACTGTGTTGCAACGTGGCGATTACCAATGAATTCATTTGTGTGCTCAATTTATCGCGCTCTGGCAAAAATTTGGACCACCACGCCGGCACGCACGGCCTACGCTTTTCCGAATTTACGTCAAGGGGATGTTTGACGCTCACCGTGAAGCAGGCGGTGTGTACCGCGGGCCAATGAACGTGCAGCATTAACCAGGGCGGGCCACTGGGCTCGAACCGCGGGGGCTATGCAACAAGGAAGAGCTCGAGGGCAGTCATTCTGTTCAGTGTGACGTGGTCACCCCGATATGGCCTGTGAACAGTGAAATTGCCTGCAAGCAAAAACGGCTTAATTCCATTTTGCACATTTAACCCGAGAGATCTCACCGGCTGTAAAAATAAACTGAGCACAAAATATAATAACAATTATTCACATGAATATTTAATTGCAACAAGATTTATGAATATGCGGTAGGTAAGGTCAAAGGGTGGCGATTACAAAAGCACTCGGGAGCTTGCAACCTTACGAAAAATAGTAGCAGTATTTGTTTGGTTACGTTCCAACTTTTTTTGCCATCGCGGCAACAATAACAAAACAAAAACTGGGACAATTTAGTGTTATATAAGCCACTGTGGGAAAAGCATTGGCACAATTCTGTTTTTGCACTCAAACCCACACTGCTGGTACCAAAGAGACTCCTTGCATCCCTCCTTCCATCTGCCTCTAAAAACCTGCTGCACCATCCACTTTCCATCTGCCCCGAAGCCTCCAACACAAATCCATCTTCTTCCAGGTCACTTTCTTTGTGATTTAGTGAGCAGCTGCTCGCTTTCCTGCGTGGCTCTGCACATCCCTCATCCTATCAGGCCGACAAGCCCCCTCAGCCACCATCCATCACTCGGCCCAAGCAAGAACGCACAAGGGGAAAGGCAAACGCCTCATTCCATTCTGCGGCCCAAGTGGTTCTTGACTATTTCACTTCTACATTCTGACGGTTTGTTACTAACGGTATTGAGAGGGGCCAAAAAAAAAAAACAGCTGAGCAAGCCGGTCCCAATCAAGGGGCCTCCCCGGTGACTTTAAAACGCTCAGTGGCTTAAACGTCCGTAAAATACTCCGGCAAGGACTACACACGTCGACCAAATGCAATCCAACGAGGTCAACGTTATATATTTCACTTTGACCAGTAGAAAAATACAACGCAAGACTGTTGTATGTCTATCCTGTGCAAAACCACCTGCCTACTCAAAAACAGGACAATTGGTTATGGTTATCAAAATTCGGATCCAGTAATAGTGGCGGTCAGGGGCTATTACAACAGGCTATGAATCCCAGCACCCGAGTTAAATTCCCGGTGATGGCAAACATCAGTGGCGAGTGATATCTGAACCACACCTAGCCCCGTCTCCCCGAACTTTTCTAAACTATTTTATTTATTTTACCAGGTAAGGTCCACTCAGCTACGCAGCTCTTTTTCAGAAGCGAGCTGGCCACACATGATAGCCCAACGAAGTGGTGTATCACGTGGAAATGTATAGCAGCCAAATACTCCGAACGAATGTTTTTAAATGTGATGGGAAAAACCGGAGGATCCGCAGAAAATTCCACACTGCCACAGGGAGAACATTCAAATTCTAAATATACAGGCATCATCAGGGTCAGGATCGAAACCCACGACCCCATGCGTGTCAGGCGAGGTAGTCAACATCTCGCCACCGTGACATTCATTTAGACTGACCAGTGTGGTGGTGAAGTAGCTCAAACAACCCCAAAGACACAACATCGAGAGACCTTTCAAGAGAGTATTCACATCAAACAAATTCGCGAAAGCACCAGATATAATGACAAAAATAAAACATTGCAGTACACAGATTTTTCGTGTAAATATTGGCGCACATTTGATGAAACATTTTTTTTAAGTATCTATCAACTTTATTTTAGCAAATAAAAATGTATGCATTGCTTTTCATTTCTATTACTGATGCACACGAAGCGAGTTTAATTATGAGCAGATGTTGCCGAACAACTAACATTTTTTTTTCATACGGAAATTCGTTCTAGTGCTCTCAAGTGGATCAAAAAATACATTAACGAGCAAATCGGATTAAAATCTTCACACCTTTCAAGAAAATATTACTTTTAAGTAACTAATTCGGCCGCATAACTTGCTCCTCTTGAGAACGGCACAGGGTGATGGTGATGGTAAACAATTTAGTTAGAATCCTATTTATGCAGGATACCACCAACTGGGGATATCCTTTTATATTTTCTCAAGAAGTTCTTTAATATTTTTAATGGAAACTGGGCAGATAGGATCTGTCTGTCGTTGCTCGTGTATCATTAAAGACATTGGACCGCACACAGCACAATACGCTGCTGGCATCGCGGGAGGACAAAAGTATAACTCTGTTTCAGAGAGGTTAGTGCCCCCTACTGATAACTCCTGATCCCATTACGAGTAAGGAATTTGGGGTTCTCAGGGTGGAGGGGTCGCCTCATCCAAGTCGAGCTCACGACTGATCCTGCGTAGCGACTGGAATTGACGGACCCCTGGTTGCGGCGTGGAGTAGTGACTGACCTGAACGTGTGCATTGCCCGAGATCATTCCCTTGACGGGACAACTCAGTGAAGGGTTGTTTCACTTTAACGGTGAGCTTGGTGTGGGTGGTGCGTGCCCGTGATCCGGCATTTTGGAGGCAAGAGATTGGTGGAGCGAACGAATACATTTGTGAAGATCGCAAACCCTCCGGGCGGCGAGGTAGCCACTAGAGATGAGATTACAGCAAAGCGAGAGCTTGGAATCCATCTGTGCAGATTTTTAAATGTTGTCCCTTCGTATGCGCGAGTTTTCCCTGGGTTTCTGTGGCAGCCACTCATTCATGGAATCAGCCAAACATCCCGATGGGGGACTCTCCTGAATAATAATAGTCCTATGTATATACTGTGCAGCTAAAAACTCAACGTATCATTGCATCACAAATACATGCCTCATGCCCATGGTTGAAAGAAAACCCTTGAGGGAACATCAATGGTCAAAAATAATGTGCAATGCTTTCGAGTGCCCTGCAAATGAGTGTTAGAGCTGGAACACATGTATTAGGGTACTGTATTGCAAAACAAAAGATCCTTTATATTCTATGAAACAATTTCAAAGTATTCTGCTTCTTCTATTATTTTCCTTGTGTCCATAGGCAAGCGTCTCTGCGTATCAAAACTCTTTTTCAGGAGGTTCCTATCAGGTTTTCGGGTTACTCTTTGGTTCTTTCGGTAAAGTCACGTAGAAAGAAAATGAATTAAATAATGGAATACGACGTTTCGATTGCAACGCAAGCAGTTGTCATCAGGTAGAACTAAATTTGAGAGAGAGACAAAACACAGACACGGAGACACACAGACAGACACAAAAGCAGAGAGAGACTCACACAGAGACACAGACAGACACATAAGCAGAGAGAGACTCACACAGAGACAAACAGAGAGACACAGAGACACACAGAGAGAGACACACAACATAGACACACAGACAGACAAGCAGAGAGAGACAACACAGAGACACACATAGAGACACACAAGCAGAGAGAGACTCACACAGAGACAAACAGAGAGAGAGACACAACATAGACACACAGAGAGAGACACAGAGAGAGAGACACAGAGACACACAGAGAGAGACACACAACATATACACACAGACAGACACACAAGCAGAGAGAGACAACACAGAGACACACATGGAGACACAAGCAGAGAGAGACAACACAAGCAGAGAGAGACAACACAGAGACACACAGAGAGACACACAGACAGAGAGAGACAACACAGAGACACACAACATAGACACACAGAGACCCATGTTTTCGGGTGTTGTTGCTGCTGTGTGTAATGTCAATTGAGTAATTTGCAGGTAAACTTTCAGCATTGGTATGCTTGACCAATACCGGTTATATTGTATGTGTGTGTTTATTTGTTTGTTTTTTTAGCCATGGACGGATACCCAAAACACCTGGGTGAAAACCCACGCAAAACAGGGGGAGAACAAAACCAACTCCGTCAAGAAAAAAAGGGCGTCCGATTCGGGAATCAAACCCAGGCCCTTCTACCCGTGAGACACGAGTGATATCCCCACGCCACCCTTGCCCGCCAGGATCTCTTTCACGATTGCAATAGACCCGACCGTTCAGTTTCATCGCAGCATTTTGAGATTGCACGCCGCAGAAGGAAAAAAAAACAAAATCCTCTCGTCAGATTTGCAACAAATGTGGTCTGTCGACAGTTTATCAGAACAATTGGTGCCTTGAAACGATATGGTGCCCCAGACCATAGGTCAAGGACAAGGTCAGAGTCAATTTTAAAAATGTCAGGAATCCAAGGCTTAAATTAAACGTGCGCAAGCAAATAAGCGGGAATAATGAGCCATTGCTTCTAGCGGGAACAATTTCCGCGTAACAAGAAATAATGAAAGGAGATCTAATCATCCTTTTAATTGACCCTCCAACACACTATAGCCTCAGACGGTCGCAAAGCTGTGACAAAAACTGGATTGTCATCACATATTTATACTCGGCCTTGAAATGGCAGTTCAATCTAAAGTGGCTCAAGACATTTAACCATCATTTAAGCCACAAAACAGTGAAAGTGCCCAATAAAATACCCTTCAGAGCCAACGTAAGAGTCATTTTTTGCTGAGCTGTTTCAATTGCCAGTCAGTCGCTCAGCTGGCATCACCCCCTTTAGGATTCAATGAACAAATTTCCCCATGGAAAGAATGGACGTTTGGCGCTCTGTGTGACAATAACGCGAATCTCGGTGTCATGATGAAAATGGTGAC